CATCTGTAGAAGGAGCAAAATTGGAGACTGAAACAAAGTTGTCAAGATGTGGCACTAGTCTGGTGAAATTCAACGAGGGACCACACTGGTTCTCTTTGAACTGGACAAGAAGGCAACAAATAAATTTAAACATGGCTCCATCCAGTCATCCCATATTAATTGTATCCAGGTCACTGGATTCAAAGAAAGAGCTAACCTAAAACTGAACTTTAAATTTCCAAGTAGCAAACAAAGATTTGAGACTAAGAGATGTCCCTTCGCGGACCATAGGCGTAAAAATTTGGAAATGTAAGTTAAAAAGGAACCTAAGGAAAATCAAGGAAGAAAACCAAAGGAGTCTGGTGTCTCCAAGTCATTCTGCATGTGAGCTTTTATTCAAAAGGAATAATCCAGACATTTTAAAGATATTTATTAGAGAAACTATTAATTTGTTCACTAAGGCCTCCAAGACTTAGCTGCAGCAGGATTTCCAGGATTGCACCTACAGGAGCCTGTGGGTGCCTTCATGGAACTACAAGGCATTACCCACTGGCAAGCTGGAGGCTTTACAAACGGTGAGTTATTATAAGGACCCTCCTGCTATCAAATGGTAAAAGCACTACAAGTTTAAACTCCACTGAGAAGAGTATCAGCTCTTAGGGCAGGGCCCTCAATCTTCCACACCTTTCTATCAAGCACTATGGTATGCGTTTCTTAGGTATTTTAAAAATGTTTGTGGGAATATCTGGCAGTAATCTGAGAATGTATGCACACAGAGAGGGGGTACATGGTAAAAAGCATACCCAACTTCCTAAAAGGATTTAGAACTGAAATAACCCAGCGTTACTCCTCCCACACCAACATGGCCAAGGATAAACTGACGGAGAGGGATGCCTGAGAAGTCTAACTTTTCCTCTCATGTGTACATTTTCTTCTGGGTGCCTTAGAAAAATGGGAGAAGGAATTTGCAGAGAAAGCAATGAGGTGTAGAACAGGGAAATAGCCAACAGCAACTTTTATAAAACCGCTCAACTACTGGCCATTAAAGAACAGCTCCTTGGCGTCTCAAGTTGGAACCTGCAAATGTAAATCAGGTCTTTGTGAGACAAACTAAAATAGTGTCCCCTCAGGGTGCACAAATACCACAGTGAAGTCACCAGCTTGAGCTACTCCCCGACACAGGCAGAGCCCATATTACAAAGGTTTTCCCAGGAGAAACGGAAAATTTGCTGTTTTGTTTCATGTTACGGGAGGGCCAAGTCACCTATGGGTTGATTCTGATTTATACACAAGACATTTCATACAGATTAAAGAGCGTCCTAGAAAAGCTCACGAAGTGCCTGGGAATTGGGTGCAATGCTAACTTTGGAAGCTCCATAAACTTTGACAGGGTTGCTCTTGTAAACAGTTTCTCAACCTAATTGTTTTAGGAATGAGAAAAGGCTACCTTTTTGCAAGATCAAAACCCTGTCTGCCAAGTTTCCATTCACAATAATTATCAAATTAACTAAAGGGGCCCTTTAAGAAAAAAACAATCCTCAGCTCAGCTACAGCACTGCTTTCAACAGGTCCCTGGGTACTGCTACAAACTCACTCACAACTTTATCATCAGATGTAAAGCTACACTTTTAAACAGCAGCTAAGAAATCTATACAAAGTACTCAGCAAAGATCTGTAAACAGAAAGCAAAACAGAACTTTTTGGGATCGGGTACCTGACTGAGACTTCCCTCCACAACACGCAGAAAATACAAAGCGACTTCAACTCTTCGTGGCCAAAGATGCGCTGTGCCCTGAACCCTATGTCACTGTAATGGAAGTTAAGTAATGGCAGCTGTCAGAATTCATACTGGTTTTCCTCCGTTTTTACATAAAGTGATACATGATCTAATTTGTAACTGTCAAATGTTAAAATACAATTCAGCCTCCCCCTAAAAGATACCAGTTAAAACGATCATACAGTCTGGTATATGAACATTTCTGAAGGGTTACATAAAAACCTGTCATCGGTGGTCTCCCAGCTGGGGAGCTTAGCAACTAAGGACACAATGGCTTGTTGCTATATGTCTTACTTGAATTATATCTCATCATGCTTCATTTTCATACAAAAAAAAGGTGACTCATGTTCTTCGCCAAAACGTGCATACTGCATGCCTATTAAGTGTGCTCTGACTTCATAAATTGTAAGGCAGGGTCTCACTATGTAGCTGTGGCTGGTTTGGAACTTGCGATGTATGCCAGGCTGGCCTTGATCGTCAGCCTCCTCAAATGCTCCAACACACCTAGCCCTAGACATGATTTAAGTTTTGCAGTGAGTAAAGTGCAACATGAAAAGGAAGTCAGCAAAGCGGCGGCTAGGCCTCCTCTTTCACAGCGCTCCCTTGGGTTTCACAGGCTCTGGAGGGCCAAGGCACAATATGCATCACTTGTTTAAGGGTATGTGAAATTTGAACTGGAGGGGAGATTTAATGGATGCACAGAACAGTCATGGTACTTGACTCCATGGGAAATAATTAGTTAGCTACAGCCCACAGAGTAACTGGAGTCAAGGAATGAATACGTTGACTATCAAAACACTCTGATGGCCAGGCCTGGCCGACTTTACCGAAATTGTTGAGCACAGCATCCATGCATGCATATATACCCGGTCATTAAAAAAAAAAAAAAAAAAAAGATGGGACAGAAACCAGAAAGATCAACCCCATGCCACGTAAAGCTCTCCCTTCCCCACCTCCTCCTCCACACACCTTTCCTCCAGGACCTCATGCCCAACCCAAGAACAAGTACAGTGAGTTCAGTCAAGACTTCATACACTATCCAACTAAAATGTGTAAAGCACGTGTTTACAATAACTAGACTGCTATGAAAATATTGTAAATATTTTTCTTAAGAGTAAACCTACTGGGCATGGTTGTTCACACCTTTAATCCCAACAGTCAGGAGGCAGAGGCAGGCAGATCTCTATGAGTTTGAGGCCAGCCTGATCTACAAGGCAAATTTCAGGAAAGCTAGACTAAGACCCTGTCTTATGAATGCCATTTAGCAACCAATGGAAGACTTTTTCAGCAAAATCAAGTCCAAGCATATAGAAAATGTTCAAATGAGGTGAAAGCGCCCTTTGACCTTGTTAGTAACATGGCCCAAAACAAGCATCTCTGGCTCCCAACAGCAGCCACCTAACCTGTTACTCTCTAACCCTAGCACACTGTCTCAGCAGCAGAGAACTGACCAGGGAGTAGTCTATCCCTCTGCAATCACCTGAAACAGACCTCCACTCCTTGGCCTAGAGCAGGAGGAAAGCCAAGACTGATGTCCATTGTTCAGAACTTTTCAACTGCATCTCAGGCACTTGGGGGACATCAAGGTCTTTTCTTTGGGGTTTTTTTTTTTTTTTTCATTCTGAAAATGGATTAAGCAAGACTTCAAGGGAATTCAGAATTGAACACAAAAAAAATTAAGTAAAAGGTTAAAAATAACTGAACATAAATTGCAAAACTCATTTTGGGCAACTGAACAACTTTCAAGCTCCTTAAAAGAGTCTCATGAGACCGTGGGCACCCCAGAGGGTCTCCCACTGTCTGGAGAAAGGAACCTGCCCCAAGACTCTACTTCTACAATTCTGTACTGTTCCAAGACTTTAAAATAACCCAACTCATTCGTTCAGTCAGTTACTGAAAAGCAAAGGCCTCACAGTTTCATTTTATGAACTTGTTTTCAAAATGTTCCATCTGCCTGGTGAGTCATCCACAAATAAAAAGGTGTTTACTACAAAGGCACTAAATGGTGCTTTTCTAAAACTTATCCCACACATGGTAATTGACACTTTTCAAGGCACTTTCTCTTAAGTCACAGTCCTTCTCTGAAACCCTGAATATTTGGTGTGCTAGAAAGCAATGGAAAGAAAGCCATGATCAAAGAATCCTTTGCCAACAAAATGTCCCTTTCAAACATCCCAGATATTATTAGCTCTATAGAACTGCCCTGCGTGCTTCGGACAGGCTTGGGGCAATCTGCTCTCTTTGGAAGTGCTCTAGTCCCAGCCACTGGTAAAATCATGTGCTCCAATGCACCAGGAATGGAAGCTCTACACATCCATAATCCCTTTCCCACACGTACATTATCACACTGGTGAACACGACGACGGAATTTTCTATTCGCTTGTATGTCTCAAAAACGAAAAAAAACTTTCCTAGATCAAGCAGGAACTGTGATCCATCCCAATCATCGGCCTTTCCCATCCATGCTTCTGCCGTGAAGTTTCCCACTATACATACACCCCTTTCCTGAATTCTAAAATGATGCGCGTTTCCACACTTGCTTGGATCAAAGCAAACCGGGAAGACGGCGAGGAGAGCTTTTTACACCGGAACAAAACTGCCCGGCAATTACAGTGAGTGTCTTCATTATCTTTTTGTTTTCTCCCCACCAGGATTAGCAGTGAAATAGCTCTTAATTAAGGCTGAACAGCTCTAAAGAACAGTAACTTAAAAGTGAACTTCTACTTTAATTACACATAGGCAATACCGGCAGTAAAGACATTTGCGTCCCTCAAATTCCCTTATCTGAGCTAAGAGCAATCACTCTCAGCCCCGGAGAGAGACAGCTAAACATTTTAAAGACAAGTGTTTAAAGTAGACCTTCAAGACTCTAACGCAAGCATGAGACATGATGGTCCTGCCAGGGGTTTCATTAGCGCTTCAAGGGGAAAAGGGGAGTGGGGTGTTGGTCCAAAATCCTGACTGTTGAAATAGAAAATAATCAGCGGAATAAGAATTCGGTTGGGTTAAAAAGAGTAAGAAAACAGAGATGCTAGAGTGAGACATGGTGGCCTTCACCGGATGTTCAAAGCGAGATGAATTTGAGAAGTTGGAGAAAGGAATTTCTGTGTGGCCCACGCTGGAGAGCAGACCGTCAGCACGCGGCTGGACAGGCCCCTCGGGCCAGACCAGCGGCTCTAGGGAGGCAGCCCCGGAGCTGGGCCGTGAACGAGAAGTAGTGGGGAACAGGGTTGTCACCGCTTACCCAGGTGCAGCGTGAGGTTGATGGAGTTGGGGTACTGCACCCCGGCCAGCATGGTCTGGCTTTGCCACCAGGTGGTGTCGGCCTGGTTGTTGTAGTCGGTCAGGAAGGCTGCCCCGTGCTGCAGGTGGAGTTGGCCGGCGTCGCACAGGTGACAGGACTTGGTGACTCCGGTCACCCCAGTCTGCACGCAGTACTCCTCGGGCGGAGTCCCACACGTGTTGGTAGCCACCACGGTCACATTGAAGGCGGCATTAACAAACTCCGGCATGCAGCGCTGCGGCCGGCCGCCCTCATCCACGCACTCGTCCATGGCCGCCCGGACACAGCCCGCCGCAGCCGCCAGCACAGCGAGCAGCGGCCACAGCCGCCCCCGGGGCCGCAGGGCCACTTCGGCCCGCCCGCCGCCCGTCATCCCACCACGCTCGGGCCCTCGGCGAAGGCTGGGGTGCCCCGAGGCTGCTCCTCCGCTGCGGGCCGAGGCCGGGCTGTGGACCGGGCTGGCGGCCGAGAACCGGGCGCAGAGCCGATGGGTGGGCGTCCTGGGCGAAGACCGCGCTGCCTCCGCTGCCTCCCGGTGTGCAGCTCGCACTGTGCGCCGACCCCCGACTTCCGAGCGCGCACCCGAGAGCGCGCCCCAGGAGGAAGGAGCAGGGGGTGGGGTCTGCCGGGTGGGGTGGGATCTGACGGAGGAGAAAACCCAAGACCGGCCTCCTCGGCAGCTCACGCGGGTCGGGAGCGGCTCCCCGCCCTATGCGTCCTCCCCAGCGACTCCCGGTGGCGGCAGGGGCAACCACTGGCGCTCCGGCCCTGGAGGGCAGTGGGCCCGAGAAGGGAGGTGGGCGGGGCGGGAGCAAGAGGGCGGGGCGCGAGATGTGGGCGGGGCGAGGGAGCAGGAGGGCGGGGCGTGAGATGGACGCGGAGAGGGGGCAAGAAGGAGGGCTTCTGGATGGGCGTGACTAAAGGTGGGCTGGGCGAGGGTATAAGAGGGAGGGAGGGAGGGAGGCCCAAGGTGGGCGGGGAGGGAGCGTGAGTGAAGGAAGGAGGGCGGGGCGTGGAGTGTAGGGCGCGGGGCGTTGCATGCTGGGAGGGCAGGGGCCTCGGTGGAGATCCCGCACCCTTCTGGAATCCTTCCCCAGGTTCTTCGTCCTAAGAGGATCTTTTGTCCTGGAGGATATCGGGGACTAAGAGGAAATTCTTAAAGGGCGACGCGGGTGGGTGAGGTGGCTCGGAATCTGTCTTTTAACTTCACGATCACTTGGACCGTGGTCCAACCAGGTGTCAGTCCTTACGGTATAGCCCAGCCACTGCCGGGCGCTGGGGCCTGAAGGACCCCGCAACGGTGCGGCGGCCTGCGTGACCTCGGTCTGGCCACAGTCCCTGGGATGCCTCCTGAGGCGCCGGACAAGCGCTTAACCCCGCTGAGAAGAGACACCCCGGAGTATCCAAGGGGCTGGGTCCAATCTCAGCTTCCGAGTCAATTTCGTGATTTCCTTGCTCTAAATTAAAGTGTAACTGTCATTTACCCTGGCGAGGAAGGAAGTGAGAAGGCTGGGAATGGAATGACATTCTCCCCCTGGATATGCAGACTCGCTTTGAAATTCTTCCACTGTGTTTGTGTTTCCCAGTTTGCCTTTAAAAGACTCGACATTATCTGGATTCTGACATCTTCCTTTTCGGACCTGCTGAGTCACGGAATATTGTCAGTGCCAGAATGACTCAGTTGGCAGAACCCGAGCCAAAAGATCATGAGTTTTAGTCCCACATCAGAACTACCTACAGGGCTGATAGAACAAGCAGACAGGGGAAGGGAGGTTGCAGTAAAAATGACCAAGCTGAGAGCCGGGTGTGGCAGCACACTGCTGGAATTTCAACCCAAGATGCAAACAGACCCATAAAGCGAGCACTCCAGACAACGTTTAAAAAAAACTTTCTAACTTAATAATACAGTGATAACAATAAATACGATTTTGGCTTCAGGAGTCTTTTTAAGATAGGGATATTGCTATCTGCAAGATGACTCAGCAGATAAGGCACCTGTCACCAAGCCTGACCACCTGAGTTCAATCCCCAGGGACCACACATACCTACATCCACAACCACACCATGGCACTCATGTGCCCACATATTTAAACACGCACAGCTATATAAACAAATGTATTTTTTTTTAAGATATGAGTAGTGGGCATATGAAACAATGAAATAAGTAAATGATAGGTACTGATAGTTAGGGTCAGTGTTAGGGCCATGAGTCCTAATGAAGAGGGCCTTAAGGATGATGGACTACTGTGATGGGTAGGGGTTACTGTTCAGGGAACTTGTAATACTGAACCTACTTGGGAATGCATCTGCCTGCCTTATTTGATGAGATGGTAGAGATTATGTGTGCTAAAGGTCTCTAACTCTTTAACCCTTGGAACTCTTTGCATTAAAAAAAAATGGGAGCTATAATAACATTTTAGAAGGTTGAAACAAAACCAGTCTATCCCTGGAGGGAATGAGGTCTCTGCTTGTTAAACACGCCAAATAAATTGGCGTGTGTCTTTTTCATTATTCTCTTTTGGCTTCTGATGTCCAAAGTTAAGTTCAAGCAACTTCATCACAAGCACGGTATCTGTTACTTGTAAAGCACGTGAAGGAACCTTGAATTGACGTCTAAATTCTGTTGTTCACTGGACTATGTTAAAGTAACAAAGTATTGAGTTTTTGTTTTGTTTAGTTTTTTTAAGAAATAAATTGTATCCAACCAATGTGCTTGATGATGAAACTTTGTTTCATTGAGTGGATTAGGATGGGGTGGGGGGCAGAGACAGGGGATGAGACAGTCAATAGTCCGGATGGCCTGGCTCCCACGTCAATCCTCCTGCCTCAGCCTCCCCAATGCTGAGATTGTAGGCATGAGCCACCGTGCCAGTCATCATTTTGTGAGAATTGATTCAGATAAACCAAATACTTTGCAGTACAATTTTGAAGACAGTTTGAGAAATCTGGACACTGGATGTTGGATGGTAACAAAGTATTTGAATTACCTAGAGGCATCACAGTTATCAATAGACTTGCTATTCAGCAAAAACAAACAAACAAACAACCTTGATGCCACCTCACTGGGGAGATTTCCTAATATCCACTATAGGCTAAGGCAAGAGAATCTTTGGTTCCAGGCCAGTGAGACCCCATCTTCCTCACCTGGCCCCCTCAAAAATGTATGTAAAAAGTTACACCCTTTCTTCTTTCTTTCTTTCTTTCTTTCTTTCTTTCTTTCCTCCTCCTCCTTCTTCTTCTGTGTTTTGGTTTTTGGTCAAAAGATTCCACAGCCTTATCTTTTTAAATACATATTCTTAACTACTTTGAAACTCCAGTATATTCTTAACAGACTTGCTATTTATGAGGGGGAATTAAGTTCAGGTTTGTAAAATTCAGATTCTTTTAATACCCAGTCACAAGTGACTCCAGGCAGCAAGGCAGGTGGGATCAAGGCATGTGGCTATACAAAATGGATGCCCTACAAAGAACCTGCATAAGAGCAGAAGAGACTTGTCCTTTCCGGATCTATCGGAATAACTTCAAGGGAGGATGCTCACTGGCTCGACCACCTGTGAATCTATAGGCATGCTCACCCCTATCGAACTTCACAACAGCACCTGGTCATCAGTCCATGGGGACAAAGCCACTCAGGAGAAAGGTTGCTGCTGCCAGTAGGTTACAAGGCAGGGGGAAAAATCGACAGTTGTCCGCTACCTAAGGGTCTAGAGAGCAAGCTATATAATTAAAAAGAAATTTAAAGTGTGTGTTGGTCTTTCAAGATTGTACCTTTTTTAGGTTTTTAGCCCCTTATAGTTTATCTATGTGTTTGCTTTTCCAGTTTTCAGTCCTTCAGACCTCGTCGCAGAGTCCATTGTCTCCACACGTGAGAACACTGAACTCTCTACCTTGTTCTTTGTGTCTAGAAATGCTACCCGTCAACAACAACTAGTAATAATAAGATGATGCTAGCCTGTATTTATTATTTTCATTTTTCTCTGAAGCACCAGATGTGATTGCCTCTGTAGCGTTGAAGAAACTAAGCCATAAGGTTAAGTAACCTCTGACCCCAAGTAAGAAATAAAACAGGACAAAGTCTGCGCCTCTGGCTCTCTGTGCGCAGAGGCTTCCTTCTTCTGCCGTGTAAAGATCATAAGAGGAACGAGGGGGAATGAAGTGCTGTTTTCCACAGCTAAGGTTTCTCAGGTTATCAAATAGGAGTTTAAATTGAGGAGGAACTAAAGTGGTACTAAAAAAGAATTAGAATTTCTCTCTTCAAAGTTACAGTAACCACACATGGTATTTTGGGTTAGTTTGGAGAGCCTGTCTGTGTCCTTGGTACAAATTCTAGCATAAGAAGATAAGAGGCCTTATGTAGCTCAGGTAAAGAAGAACAAGATTTCTCAGTCCCGTTCAGTCCTATGTTATCAAATTCAGGCTATCTTAAATTGTGACTCTGGTTTTACAAGGGAGAAATAAAAGAGATATCAACATAAGAATCAAAACAACTTTTTTTATAACATAGTTTTTTATTGATTCTTTGGGAATTTCGAATCCCAATCCTGCTCACCTCCCAGTTCCTCCATATTCTCCCCTCACCCTGCAGCGTCCCCCACTAAGGGAAACCCCTAAAAGAATCAAAAAAAAAAAAAGAACACTTTGTTCCTCTGTCTTTCCAACACCTCTTCATTCATCCTATTGGAATCAGGAACTGAAGTGTGTCACCAAGTATACCCTTTTGTCCAACCAGCCCCACCCACAAAGAGTTCATCGCCATGAGTCATTGGTCTGGTTCAAGGCCTCTGGCTACCATCCTCACTGGACCCTCACAGAAACTCCTCTCGGATGTCCTGCAGTTGCCCTGAGTCATGGAGATCTTATCAATCCACAGAATCACTCCCTTTACAAACTCCAGCAGGTCATAGATGGGGTAGATGCTGGGGTGACTAACCCGAGGCCCAGGATGTGGGTCTGGGTGGTAGCTGAGCTGGGACTGGGACCACACCACCTCAGTCAAAGAGCAAAGCCAGCTCTCTGACACCCATGCCATTGGGGCCAGCTCTCCAACACCCACGGTGAGGGGTGGGGCCAGCTCTCCAGCTATAGAGACCAGCAAGGGGCAGGACCACCTATTCTAAGGTCAGTGAGGGGCGGGTCCGGCTCAGCACAGCCCTTGGATTTCAATGTGCATGGTTGCTATGACCCCCTGCAGCAACACGGGCCACAGACATCAACACAGGCCATAGACATCAACACAGACGCCAGCAGCAACAGAACCACAGACCCAGACATGACTCTTGACAGCAGATTGAGCCTGAACTTCATGGCCCATGTGGCAGCACAGGCCACCCAGATCAGCATGTCCCCATAGGCAACAAGGCTTGGTCTCAGATAGCTGTCCAGACCCAGATCTGCGCATCCCAACAGCCCTTGGTGCTAACAGGAGCCATGGACTTCAACTCAGACCCTGGGTGCTGCTGGGCCACAGACCCAGAAACAGCCCTGTGCAGCAGTCCAGGCCCAGACAACAT